ACCGTTAATAAACAAGTGTCTATTGTGGATGACGGCTTCGGTAGTTTTCCAAGTTTCCGCCCCATATAGTAAAACTGTTTTGACATTTGTATTGAAAATTCTAACCTTGATGTAGTTTGGCAGTTTTTTGAGTTCCAGATGTTGTTCAATTGTAAAAATGTAGTCCTTGCTTTGCCGATCCGCACCTACACATCTGTATCAGATCCACCTTGCTTATTGATGATGCTGCCCAGATATGTAAAGGTTTTGAAGATACGACAAAAGTACCTAAAGGTTTATCGGCCCACGAAATAAAAAACAGTTTTATTGTATAATTTGTGTTTACATTGTGTCCACAATTTGAAACTAATTCCAAACCCAACTTGATTAACTTGATGGTTTCCGTCAAACATCACTTTGGATCCTAAAATATCGACACCTACAAAAAAATTGTGGTTACTCGTTATATTATCTATATGTTCTCGCTGGTCTATCAATCATGTTGGTTTAAAGTAACACGCAATCCAGCAGGATATGATGACACATGTTCACTGTTTCACATATGATGGAAATTCTGCAAGACTAGTTGGGTCGGTCGTTGATGAAATCACAATGCCGTGGTGCAAGCTATATGTCCACCTATCTATCAGAAAGTGAATAGGTCAAGAAGCAGATCTCTCGGCATTACTTTATCTTCCTTAGAATGATGTCTTTGAAATTAAAAGAAGCGGAAACTTGGAGAACTACAAAAGCCATCATCCAAAAGATACAAATATTTATGAACAGTTGTCTTCGCAAAATGCTTAGGATTCGTTGGCCAGACACCATCAGCAACAACGTACTATGGGAGAGAACAAACTAGATTCCAGTGGAGGAGGAAATCAGGAAGAAGCGGTGAAAGTGGATAGGACACACACTGAGAAAAGCACCCAACTGCGCCACAAGACAAGCCTCTATGTGGAACCCTCAAGGTCAGAGGAAAGGCGGAAGGAGAAGGAAAACATTACGCCGAGAAATAGAGAAAGACATGAGAAGAATGAATGAAAACTGGAAAGAACTGGAAAAGGAAGACCAAGACAGAGTTGGCTGGAGAAAACTGGTTGGCTGCCTATGCTCCTTTGGGGGTAACAGGCGTGAGAGAGAGTAAGGGGGATTTCACAAGTGTTATATCATAGATGTCTTTCAAACATGATTCGAGTATAATGAAACCATTTATTGAGTAATGGTAAGGTTGTTTATACTTGTACTAGACAGAAAAAAAAGTCGACCGACAAAAGCACAAACCTTCATATTATGCCTGCACAAAATATATCCCAATCACTGACTCCCATGACAGGCAATAGTGTACAGCTTAAAAGAGCGTTGGCGAAAAAAGTCATATTGGTCAAAGTTAAGATGCATGATTAACTAACTCATTCAATAACCAGTCAGTCAGTTACAATGTAGAACTTCGTACGTAAGTAAATCAGTTCATGTTGCCATACCACATTTAGGCACAGAGACACAATTGTCAATTCAAATCCCGTAGTGGTAGAGATAGTAGAAGTATTACTGGTAATGGAGAAGATTATGATTTGAAGATAATATTCAAGATGTATAATTCAGTAAGATAAGTTTAGAAAGACAAAGGTAGAGGTGTTGACTAATCGAGAAGATTAGGATTTGAGAGAACACATCGAGTGGATGCACCTGCGCCATTGGAAACGATTTTGTGCCATGTCGTTCAATCATTCAATGACCAATGAATTTAAAATTGGAATGAGAGATGTAAACCACCTAATTGAAGTTTGCAAAATAATCCGATTCTGTGTTAGGCGGCGATATCAGGTACAATCTCTCAAAATCGGTCACAATGATTCAACTGTATAATTTCTTTATCTTTTCATTGACCAAACCAAAACATGGCACAAATCCTCGAAGTCACCGACAAGTGGACTGAGTCATGTTAGTAATTGTAGTCTACCTGGTTGAGGTCCGCGACGTGATAGTAACCAATGGTTAGAGAACTTGAATTACATGACTCAAAATCGTTTGCCATAGCACAGGTGTATCCAGTATTTGTGTCCTCTCAAATCCTAATATTCTTTCTGAATTCCTTTTCACCTCTGTCTTTCTCTTTTTAAATTTATTTCACTAGATTCTAATTCTTGAATAATATCTTCCATCTCTAATCTTTCGGATTACTGCTAATACTTCTACTACCTCTGCTACTATAGGATTTGAATTGACAATTCCATCTCTCTGTGCTAATGTGATATGGTAACTTGAAATGATGTACGTACGTACGAAGTTTCACGCTGTTGATGATTGACTAACTGACTAACCCTTTGATTCTTAAAAAACTAACTTTCCTATTTAACTTTTTACCATCATTCATACGTTTATCACTTCAAACTCTTTCATTTAAATGCTATTTATATTCTGACACGGATTATCAAAATTCTAAATGACTAGACAAAACAGTATCTACCAATAAGTAATGATCAAACTTTCCAACTGATAAGATTTATATGACAAATAAATCAGCATTCATTCACCCGACCGAAGCTGCTACCTTGAGGTGGTGGTCGGGCTTGCCTATCGTGATGACCCAACCGAGCTATACTGGCTGGAACATATGATCCTGCAGGTCCTACCATGCCAGGCAGGTCGATTGGAGAACGATGAGACTAAAAGCAGCTACCCAAGGTCTGAGGGCGAAGTCGTACTGCTGACTACTGCAGAGGGGTGTGACAGCAGTAAGGTGTTTCCCTCGGACAACCAGCATCTGCAACGATGCTGTCTTCTCACAAGGAAGGAAGGGTTAGAAAAGGTCGGCCCTAAAAATGTCACACCTCCCCTAACTCACGGATTTCCGTCTCCTTGGGTAAGGGTGCCCACTAAGGGCCTTTAAGAACGGAGCTAATCCTCAAAAAACGTTTCATAAAAAGGCCGTGCGTGACCGGCCTCAAGCAGTTGTCCCTTGGACTCTGCGGTCACACAACCAGGTCTCCGAGACCAACACTAATCTATCTTCCTTATCAGGTCCCTCAAGAAGCAACATTCCACGGTGTGGGCAGCCGGGATGTGATATCCGCCCTCATACCCACAACAGCACACGAGACCAAATCGACTGACTGCATTCATTCAAAAGAATCATAACCAACAATCTTCAGTTTTATTTATATATGAATTCATCAAAAAAAAAACTAACCTTTCTTATCTAATTGATCTTTAATACCAATTACATCGTTACTAATTGATAAAGAATCGGCATAAATTTGTTCCGCATGTATATTAGCATGTTTCAGCGAACAAACAAGGCGTACATCATAATTGTATACATATACACTGGATCCATCAGCTAAAGCAAAATATCTGTAATTTAAAAAAAAGAGTAGTAGCAATTGAAATTCTTTGTTTTTTTTTCAAGAAGTTAGCTCCGATCATTCACAGGGATCGGTTTTAGAATCATTGAAAAACAGTTAATATTGGAAATCTATTTGCTCATAGCTTGAAATACTTTTAGTAGAGAGAGAGTACACTGACAATTCCTCATGAAACTGAACTAAGAAGGAGCACCTTCAGTCCTTGCAGTTGCCTAGATTTCAATGATATCAGTCTATGATGGAAACTACCATCAGATTTAACAAGTCTGCAAATTGCTTAGTTAATTTATGTCTTTTTATACTAGAAATCCGATTAGCTGCCACAGAAATCATAGTACATATTAATTATGATATAAATATTTAGAATTTCGATCATATGAAAATGAACATCATACAAGAGCGAACAATTGATGATTTCAAGTGTGTAAAAACACAAAAAGTCTCCGAAACCCTAACTGAAAATATTGTAACATGTGCTCACTAGTGACTAGCTTCGGGAGGAAAGTCGAGGAGTTCTAGTGAAAAGACGTGACCAATAGAGGTCAACCCTGTCAGGTGTGGGCAGTAACTACCAAAGACAAATGGGTGAGGTCCCTAGATCAATCAGAGTTAGACATTGACACCGTCGGATGCCGGCCAAGCGGTTCAGAAGTTAGGCGTTCGCGCACAAGACTGAAGGTCCCGGGTCCGAATCCTGCGAGGTGCAGGAGTTTTGGATGCGCACTGCTGATGAGTCCCATACCGGGACGAAACAGCCGCCCAGTGCTTCCAGGTTTCTGATGGTCGTCTAAAAATGATTGATTGACGATTTCAAATGTGTAAAAACACAAAAAAATCTCCAAAACTCTAACTGAAAATATCGTTTTCAATAGCCGGTTTTGTGAAGATATTTCGAATTCCACGATAAACATCACGGATGGATTCTATTTAATCTACTACCAGCAAGTGGATAGCTGTTTTGTTTCAATGTGAGACTACTTGGAAGTGCACATCTATAACGTGCAGTATTGTATACAAACGCTCAACACGCAGAACACCGACACGGTATCAGATGGTTAACATGTTCGAATTCCATCAAGTCGTAATATTACGCCAAAATCTCCTAATAAACTTGGCCGGGTAACTACCTCACACTTGACATGTTTGGTTCATTTTTCGTCTGGCTTTACTCCAATACACAATAATATTTACTTTCACCTGAGTTCCTTCATTCGCTGACTCAGATGTCTAGTGGAATGTTGGAATTAACCTTCTCCAAAGGAGTAGCTGAGTTTGTAAGTTCAAAGTAATGTGACAAAACCAAATGGAAATCAATCTCATTAACATCCCTCTCCATTGCTTTAGTCACCCTGTGCAAGATTTTGCTAGCTATATGTGCAATCAATTGTAACTTCAGTAAATGAGGACTTTTCTATGCAGCTAATCAAATTTGAAACGAGATGACAAGCTTTTAATCACTGATAGAAAAACCTTATTAGCTAACGTTTTTTAATATAGGCTGATGTTGTCTAGTAAGACAAACGAAAGTACAAGACTAAATCTTTCAGTTCAGAAAATAAAAACCCTTAAAATCTTCGCTTCTATTGAATACTGTACCTGACTGTCATCTGAATATAAAGAACTCAAATGAACGCACTTCATAACTAAGCTTCTTAATTTAAGCAAGACACAAAGCCCTAGTTAGATGGAGAAAGATTAGATTTCAAATACAACGAGGTGTGACTTATTTCTCGAACGTTCACTTCGTTTAGAAAATTCGATCAAAACCACGCTAAAATAATCTCATTTATATTCTTATCAGCAGACTACTTCAATTACATCAATCCAAATACTAAAATCAACACTTGATTTAAAATATTCATAATTACGAACTGAACACTTAATTACTTTAAAGTATTTGTGGAGACCGTTGAATTTTGTAGTTTACGTTATGGACTGGTGAAAACCAGGAATCAGCTGTAGTATGGGACTCCTAAGCACTGTGTAACCACAATCCTTCTGGGGATTGAACCTAGAATCTTCGATCCTCGTACGGAATATTTAACCTCTAGATCATTGCTCTGGCATCTGTCATTCTACATGTTTAACTTCAACAAGTCCATAATGTAACCTGTGAGATTAAAGATTTTCAATTTCAGAATCTTTGATTAGCACAGAGTCTTATGAACAGTCTTATTTTACTCATTTGCCTTCGTGGTATAATGCTGATTATTACATTTTCAGTTCTCCCAATGACTTATTTTGTAAAACGGTTGATTCACGCTGGAGATGAATCCTAAACCGAAATCATAACAGTGGTCCAGTAGTCATATTATTGATACTTACACTTTAGTTTCTTATAATTTCTAAACTTTGTGTCAGTCTGTACTTTTTATTTATGGAATCTTTTATTTCCTCTTAATTTACATGTGTTATGTTTAACTCTTCATTGTAGTCAGCATTATTTGTTATTTTCAGCTTTTCATTTCATCACTTTTTTTATCTCAATCGGCTAATCTTAATATAATGGTGTAACAAGCTGAACTCATTTACATTTGTACCAGGTACTAAGTTCTCTGCATGAATTATACTTTTGTCCCTAAAGCATATTATTCCTCTAAATTCTACATTGTTATTATTCAGATAAATTTGTGCCATTGTCAGGATATTCATCCAATATCCTACGAGAATTATTGGTTAATTGCTGCTGGTTAATTTTATGGTCTTTTTTTGAAACCATGAATCGATCAATGTTAGACCACCATTAAAAACCTGGAAGGACTGGACGGCCGTTTCGTCCTGGTATGGGACTCTTCAGCAGTGCGCATCCACCACTCCTGCACCCTGCAGGATTCGAACCCAGGACCTTCGGTATTGTAGGCTAACGCCTAACCATCGGACCACTGAGCCGGTATCTAACAGTGTTAATGTCTAACTCGATCAAATTCATGGAGTTGCGCAACCTCATACACAGTCTTCGGTAGACACTGCTTACACCCAAACAGGTTAACTTCACTGGTCACGTCTTCTCACTAGAACTCGGAGAAGATTCCTCGCTAAGCTAGTCACTAGTGAGCACAGGTATTTGTATTACGGGGTTGTGAAGATTGATAAGTCCCATACCAGGACGAAACGGCCGTCCAGTACTTCCAGGTTTCTAATGGTGGTCTAACATTGATCGATTCATTGTTTCAAAAAACTTAACAATCTTCACAACCCCGTGATACAAATTTTATGGTCTTCCTAGATATCAATGTCACGTGCTCCAATGTTCTTTCTTATTGGTTGTCCTGACTATAAGGGTCACTTCAAATGTTACTTCCTATTGGTCGTCTTAACTGTCAATGTCACAGACTTCGATGCTGTTTCTCATTCGACCAAAATGTATAAATACGTATTATCTGTAACGTTTTATGACCAGGACCAGGACTCGGTCCTGGATCCCGATTCTCTTCTGGACTCAGACCTTGTACTTTCTGGATGCTTGTAGAATACAGGTTCTACTTCATATCAAGTCTTCTTATTTTCACTCAATATGGGGGTTGGGATAATCGGATTTGAGAAGCATGTCGTGTCGCCGGATCCTCGATCCTCGCTCTCGTTTTCCAACTAGGTAAACTCGTAATAGTTCAAGCATATCAAGTTGACGTGTTTATGTGCAGGCGTAACAACCATATTTTCATTTAGAGTTTTGGAGATTTGTGTTTTTATACATTTAAAACCATCAACCAATCATTGTTAGACCACCGTTAGTGACTAGCTTCGTGAGGAAATTCTCGGAGTCCTAGTGAGAAGACGTGACCGATGGGGTTCAACTCTATCAGGTGTAGGCAGTAACTATCAGAGACAAATGGGCGAGGTTGTGCAAAATCCCTAGATCAATCAGAGTTAGACATTAACACCGTTGGATGCCGGGCAAGTGGTCCGATGGTTAGGCGTTCGCGTACAATACCGAAGGTCATGGGGTTCGAATCCTGCAAAGTGCAGGAGTCGTGAATGCGCACTGCTGATGAGTTCCCATACCAGGACGAAACGGCCGTCCAGTGCTTCCAGGTTTCTAATGGTGTTCTACCAATGATTAATTGATGATTTCAAATGTGTAAATTTATACTACTTGAAGATAATATTTTCATAAACAGAAACTAGGCTTCTGAAAACGCATTAAGAAGCAGTTATCCTAATTCAAAGTCTTAACACAATTTTCATTAGCGTAGGATAATAAATACGGTGAGTTGATTACCTGGTACACTTTTTTTACAAAACTCTCATTTTTATCACCCAAACGATTAAAACAGCGACTGAAAAAGTAGATCTTGACTTTGACAAATAGTAAAATATCATTACGAAAAGATAAGGCGTGAAGTAACTCACTTTTGACATTGAGCAATATGAGTAACGCTGCACTCTTTGAGATCAACAATTGTAGGTGTATTGAAATTTTTAATACTGAAAAATGAATTTTTATAGAACAATATTTATTAATATCGTAAAAAAGCGGTCAAACTAACAAACAATAATATTAACGAATGTTATGAAATAGTAGCTGCTTAGATTTTGAAAATGTTTTATGTTGAACCTATCTGAAACATGTTGGCTGGGTTCACTTAGTGTTGATATCCATATTGTCAGTCAGTCAGATACAACGTAAAACTTTGTACGTAAGTATATAAGTTCAGGTTGCCATACCACATTAGCACAGATACGCAAATGTCAAGGCAGTCGGTGGTTGGGCATACATAACACATGTCCCCAACCACCTCAAATGATGGAGTTTCAGTTCTCCATCAATTGATCTGCCATCTTTACCTAGTACTCGATTCCTAACTATAGCACTGCTTAATCGGTTGTCTCAGGATATACAAGCAATGCTTCGAAGACATCTATAGTCGAATAATGATAACCTACAAATGTCCTCTACTTTTACCGGCCATGTTTCGTATGCATATAGTAGGACGGAGCGAACTACTGAGCAGTACATTCATCCTTTAGTTAGCAAACGGATATCTCGCCTACGCCATAAATGGCTCAAGTTGGCAAAAGCCAATCGAGCCTTCTGTATCCGTGCTGAGATTTTGTCACATACCAGGCCATCAGCACTGATGAGACTACCAAGATAAGTGAAGCGGTCTACACGCTCGACTACTTCACTCCATATCACTAGTTCTGGTGCTGTCGCAAGCCAATCTTGAAGCAGAATTTTACATTACGAGGCGTAAAACTGTATCCCGAACATGCTTGGATTGTTACTTAGAGTACTGAGAAGACTCTGCATTTCATCAGCGTCTTCACCGAATAGAACTATGTCATCAGCATGCTCTAAGTCGACAAGTGAATCTCCTGGTAGAATTCCCACTTCTGAAAGGTCAGACGAAGATAAAGTTATATCTAGAAGCATGTCGACGACAAAGTTAAACAAAAATGGAGAGAGTGGACAACTCTGACGGACACTACTTGAAGTAGAGAATTCCGATGATAGTTCGCCATAGGCTCTCTCCCTACCAGTGGTGTTCGAGTAAAGAGCTTGTATAAGGTTAATGTACTTCTTTGGTACACCTTTTAACGGCAGACTGCCATAGAACTTCATGATCGACAGGGTTGAATGCCGCCTTAGGGTCGAGAAATACTACTATTGTGGGACTTCTGAAGGTGTCTTTGTTCTAGGACCTGATGTAGTGTGAATTTCTGGTCCTAACATCTACGTCCAGGTAGAAAACCAGCCTGGTTTTCTCTAGACTGCTCTTCACGAGCTTCCATTAAGTATCAGAGTATTATTGAGGCAAATATTTTCAATACTACATTAGTTAGACTTATTTCTCTGTGATTGTCACAAGAGGACTTTTGTCCTTTCTTATAGACTGGGACAATCAGAGATTGAGACCAGTCAGATGGGATTACGCCTAGTCCCCAGATTCTACCAAAGATCTCGGTCAATCTAACTCTTAAAACTGGACCACCATCCTTAAAAATCTCAGGCGTCAATCTATCAGGACCTGCTGCTATATCCATACTGAGACTTGAGCCTAGCTACTAAATGTTTTTGAATTGTAAGTACGTTAGCAAATTCCCTTGATACTGCTGCAACCTAGTCGCCTAGTTTTTGGCTACAATGAGTAGTAATTACTTGAGTTATTTTGACAACTAACAATTTCCATTGTTGTTTTTAATATCATTAAGATATTCGACAATTATTTAGGCGTATCGATACCTAATGGACTCAATTTTATGATTCCTTTAGTAGTGTGTTTTCATACAACTGACATTTTTTAGTTTGGTATCAGTTCTACATCGTTTAGTATGAAGTGAAATTCTTTACTTAATATATTCACTAATTAATGTGGCTTTGTTATCATTCAAAATAACCTTAGGTGGCTCAGATGAAACTACTGAATTTGATGTCCTTTCCGTCAGTACAGAACGCAGATACCGAAGTTTTCCCTTAATTCTGAAAGATCTGCTAGTAGTTTACTGAGTTTTCTGTCTTATTATCAAAATTAAACTTATCTCTACAAACCATTCAGTCAAACGAACATCATGTGTTCGCATTTAATAGTGTCGATTGGTTCTGGAATTAATACATATACCTCCAATGGCACATAACACATACATCGGTTCAAAGTGACCCACTACACAAACATAGTTAGGATGAATTATCGAAACAAATACCTGGGTAGAATTAATAGCATCAGTGGTAGTAAGGAAAGCGCGATACAGAATATGAAGCTAGACTATAATTTGGTTTATAAAGAAATTGCTAAACACTTACTTGTATACATAACACTGTGTGGCAGTTACCACAATGAAGTGATTGAAACTAAACGATATTTTTGATATACGATCACGGAATTCTAAACGTTCTATTGATTCATTGCGTAGATTTTGTAGTACAGAAGTTCGTTCATCAGTTACTAATGCTTCAAAGCCATTCCATTCTAAAAATCTTTCAATTACTTGTCCGTTAATTATTCGACCATTTCCACCAGCACATGCTATTTGATTACCATCAGGAGACCATTTAATACTGAGAATACTACCAGTGTGTGTTCTCTCTAAGTTATGAATCCACTGAAATTTAAAAATTCAAACCATAGCATTGAAATTAATCCAGATATCTTTGAGTGGTGTTGTAGAACAAACTAATATGTTGTAGGAGTGTTCGAAACCGAAGGATTGATGATAGATATTAATCCTTGCCTACGTTTACCCAATGAAAACTCATTTTTCTACCGGGTATGTAATCGGTAAAGTCTTCACGTATCACAACAGCCATGATACCATTGTGGTGATTCAGTCAGAATCCTATAACATGCAGTGACAACTTCAGCCAATCCGTAAAATAGTAAAACCAAGATCTAATATCATTGGTAGTATCGATTTCGCCTTTGATGTGATTAACTTGTACCAACTTTAGCTTCTCATCGAAACTGGCGGGGTATCTTGTGAAATTCAGACTTCTCAGGAACGAAAACTTACACAAAGATAGCTGTCGCACTAACGGACTTACATTGCTTTCTCTGTAAGCGCTGGTCACAAATGAGGGAAATCGATTTCGGGCTAAACAAACTCAACCAATCCCTAATAAATTTTGCTTGGTCTATGTGGATTTTAACAACTGACACAACAGTAACTCACTTTTGAAACTAAACTCAGTAACAAAGGTATGAGCTGGAAGACGTACACTTATATCAAATCCTGAATGACTCAGTAGCAACGGCTGTGAAAAAGCAATATGCCGTTAAACCTATACTTAAGTATCAGTTCCCAAACGGTTGGAGACGAACTAAGTTGATTGATAATAGAGAACAAGAAAATACACATTGAAAAATTCTTATCGATTGTGTTTAACATGGCAAATAAAGAGTTGTTTCGTTGCCATAGCATTTGAGTTACAGCAGGTGAGTATTAAGTTCTAACATCTCTCAACCGTTTATACTTACTATCCCAGAATGGAATTGCGAATCTTTACACAAACTTTCTAACACAAAGCCAAATATGTATACTTTTAGATACCAGTTTAGCTACAACTATTGTGGAATTAGACAAGGATACATGGTTTTTGGACATATGCCGAACTCTTGCTTCCATTCAATGACACTAATTAAACAATATAATGCTTAGAAACTCATTGAACACGAAAATAAGCATTAACTGTAATTTAAAAGGTTCACGTCCATAACAAAATTAAATATGTAACTAGGTATCTCCAAATCAATTAGACTAGATTTTTACCTATGCTATATGGACTCCGAAAGGTCTTGACTGAACACCATAAGACGTCAATAGTTTCTAAATTATGACTTTAGCCAGGACAAACAAAATACCTAATTGACAGAACTAGTACGATTTTTCGAATATTAAATAAGAAAAAATAAATATACAATAAGACCTAACATAAACAAGTATCAGTTTGAGTGTTGACACTTCACTTCTGTCAAAAAAGACTGAAAATTCGAAATTCGTGGGGAAACTACAATTCTTACACTTCTTTACAGATTGTTGGCATTTCCATGTTTACAGTTTGAGAGCGCTAGTCGTTCAAAAACACTAATGAAGTTTTTTAATGTTCAAAACAAAGAAACAACAAGTTGCTAGCTTTTCACAGAAAAAATATGTCTGAGCGTTTAAGATCTTATTCATACTCTTATCCTAAAGAATAATATGATCATATGTTCATGTTCTATATTCTAATATTAACCAAAGACTTGAGCATTTGTATGTTCCACTCTGTTGACACCATCACTATGATTCATTTCAAAAGTACAAAATATAATTATTATCCTACGACTAAGTTTACGATAGAAATAGGTTTTCACATCAAATAACAACGAATGATACGAAAAAATCTCACAAACCCACCCCAAGTTTATCACACAATACTACGGTAGCGTACGATCCAACTGCGAACAATTGACCATCTGGAGACCATGAAACTGACGTAACTGGATACTCAAAAGGTGCACTTGAGTGTAAGAGCCTCCCAACACTGTCCCATACCTAAGATACGGTTATAATCATGATATTTTACTTTATATTTACAATCTTCTGAAGCGGAAATAAGTTGATCGTTGATCATATTCCAATCAACTTGCAAAATGACGCCATCATGAGCTTTCCACTACAGGAACCAAATCACTGAAGTGTTTAGTTTACTTACCGCAGACGGTTTAGCATTTGCTTGAAGAGGTTGTGCAACTAGTTGCTTGTCAAGAGAGAAAAACATCACATTAGAGTTAGCACCCCACGAAATCGAGTAGATAGGATAACCTGGTTGCGGACGAATGAATAATAAAACGTAAAATTAGTTACTGTGTTGACACAAAGTAGATCTTAACATCCCACTTCGTGACCAAACTTTTATTTGGCCATCTTCTCCGGCTAAATAAATAATGTAAGTTGCATGATGTATACTAACATGTAGCGAAAGAAGTTCCATCAAAATTCCATTTCGCAGACAGAACAGCCCCTTGGTGAGCATCCGAAGTTCGTTCTATTCTTCCTCTTTTGGAAATAATGTGGCATTTTCCTAATCGACTTTAAAAAATTATCATATAAATCTACCATCAGTCGCTCCGAGTAAGAATATTTCACTCCCTGTTGAGGTTTTAGTAGCTTGCTTCGTTCTTTGTCTAGGAAACCAGTCCATACAAGTTGGGAATACATTTTGGGGTAAGCTAAATAAATCTACTACTTGATCCGTAGTCAGATTCCAACATTTAACTGCTCGATCATCTGCAGCCGAAATTATTTCATCACAAGACATCCAATCGACAGAACTAGCCAAATCATTATGTTTATACTGTTAAGTAAAACGCTATTAAAATAATAATAATATAAAACAGATTCTAACATAATAAAAAGGATATGAATTATTAAATCGTTTGTCACTATTTTTATTTTCATGTTTGAATAGTCTACACCAGATACTATAGAGAAACAACCGCATATTATTGATCCAAACAAAGCCTTTAGTGTCCACAATAAACAATTTTCAAGTTTCAAACTGCAAGCTTTGTTGATAAAGATAGAGAAAAGTCATTTCGTAGAGATTCTTACTTCAATTGGTTTAATCATTATCGTCCAGATTATTTTGATGCTCTGTATATTACTTGTCTGATTAAAAGTAACTAGATGACTCCCAACAGCGTATAACTTCCAGAAGGAAATACAAAGCATTAACTAGAGTTTATTATCATGCAAATCAGACCACAAATCCACAAGCACATCAATTTAGTGAGAAAGACTGTCAGTCAGTACATAGAATCAATGAATATGATTTAAGAAGCTAATACCCACATTGGAAAGTAAGCGAGTCATTAAATGGGTAAAGTACTGACCTAACCTAGTAGACTACTGAAGGTAGTCCTCTTGTTCATGTAAGATCTATTTTGAAGGCTTTGTTTGTGAAAATCCCTCCATGTATACATTTGTAATATGTCCTTGTTGATTCCTTCAGTTCTACACTTTGTTAATCTGTTCAATTCCATTTTGAGATGGTAATATTTGTATTTTATCATAGTTTCTGTTTTTTGTGCCTTTACTGAGTTTCTATGTTTCTTTCTGAACTGCTATATGTTGTTTAAGCTGATTCTTAGTTTTGGCGACAGCCATACTGATTTGTTCCTCTGTTGGTTAGAGCGGTTGCACTTAACGGAATTGTGCATTTTGATTGTGATTTGGGGCGCTCTGTGTTATATAGCAACCAAATATCATCGATCGAACGAATCTGATCTATCCACGAGGGATAGAATAACATTTAATTGTATTAATTATTTGAATAAGTGAACTATCATTGGAGCATTAAGGTGGTAATATGGTTTAGGTAATTGCGTATATATATATTTATGACTAATAATAGAACCGTTATTTACTCAAAAATCTTGTTTTAGATTTCAAGTGAAAAAGATGCGTGTCTAAACTTCTTTGAGAGCTGTTCCTCAGTCCAAACCTCATTTTGCATCCCACAGTTAACTTATGCTCGTCTTCAACATTATACCGACATTGCAATAAAATCCGACATATCTCTTGAGGATAAATGCGAAGGAAGCAGGCTCTAGACAGACTAGAAACTGGTCAAAGATATGGAAGCGAATGCTACGAAGATTTAAGTGGGCCGGCCTCTTTAGGAGTTCTGTATACAAATGCCTATAATTTAGGAAATAAATTCCTTTAATTATTGGTACTTGAGGATGAATCCAAGCCATCTATCACTGATGGGATTGAAACCCGAGTGGTCCCATACTTTGATGTTACACCAGAATTATCAGGATACAACTACCCAAGAAGTGATAGAAATAGAAGTAGGAAAGATGGTAACGTTTTTTTGTTAATTTTTAGTATAAATATCTGATCCCTCGTTTGTGGATCGCACTACAAAGAGACTTGCAAAGTCACTAGTTGTGAACTCACGTTTCAGGGAATGCAACCATACTGAGTGTCATCCATCATTTCCGGAGCTATCTAGTTGATGGTTTTATATGAGAGAACATTCAGCCATGATTTCAGTGTAACAGATGGTTGGTTTTGGGGTATTTTATTGCCTCTGATCATAATTTAACAAGAATATCCACTGTAGGGTGTGAAAATGCATTCCACAGTAAGTTCTTGATGACTTCATTGGAAGATGATTGAGCAAAGCTTTCATCTGAATCCACACATTTATGCTCAAACCAAGGATCTTATTTGTTTGACTTAGCAGTCACTCATACACTAAAGAATATTGCCTCTCTAAATATTCAACCCCGTCATCTATCATTGATCATTTTGTTTTGCCATTCATGTTTAGAGAATATGCCATAGAATATGATCAGATCCAATCTCGTCCAAGTGTAAGAAGAGCGAACTTAACAACCATACGTGAGTGCTCTGCAGAATTAGACTGGTCCGTAACTAACAGCTTAGCAATCGAAGAGGCATGGTTTATATTTAAAGATACACTTTTCTCAATTACGCTTCTGCTTATACCGTGTTTGTTACCATGTAGACCAAATGACTACCTAACGTAGCAGCTAGATAGTTCAAAAGTCTCTTAGATGCAGCGGGAAGCATAGGTTTATCACTACAGGCATTGAACAGTGAAAATCGACTTACTATAAGACAAAAAATGCGAACCGTCAGTAAATAATTCTAGAATTTTTCAGGGGAAACGATTGGTCAGAGGTTGTGAAAGTAGTCCAAAAGTTTTTCCCATATACAAATAACTGAACTAAGAAAAGTGACGGAATCCCACAACTTCTGGTTGAAGAAGATCTGCCGATACTGATAAGAAATGTTGTTGAGAAGGCAGAAACTTTATGTGGGTATTTTGGCAAAGTGTTTCCGACCGACGATGATAAAAGACCAATTATAACGATGATGGTTTGTCAATGGACGGCCTAGTTACCGAGGGAGGATTTGACTAACGGTTACTTCATCTTATCTCAAGGGGAAGCTAAACTGCTAAGAGGCTGGAAAGATGCCGTAATCAGTCCTGTTAATAAATAGGGGAGAAGAAACTTAGTTGCCAATTATAGACCTGTTTTTCTTTCCAGCTTATTCGTCAAAAAATAGAGACTATTTAGTGACGGCCGAGTCGAGATTGACTGTGATCACCACTAAATACTAATTACAGACCCGTTACTGAGCAGATAAATAAATCCAGGGTAAAGGATATATTTGCTGGTTATTTCGTGGTGTCGAAAGAACAGCGAAATTAAACCAGGAAAGTGGGCGAATCAAAGAACAACTACAGCGAAGAATGACAGCAACACAAACAGAAAGTTGCGCGTAAATAGTGTTATAATCCAAAAGTACATTTAAGCAAACACTCGTAGAATTGGTTGTATTGATGAAAGTTTCTGCCAAACCAATCGCGTTCTCGTCATAAAAGTGGATCCACTTTAGCAGCCACCCTAGAAAGGGTTTACACTTTCGATACTTAACAATTTCGTTCTGGGAGAATGACCAGCCAAAGTGCGATTGTAGGGCGTAACAGTCGACGAACAGGAAGCGACAAATGAAGCCCCAGTAGTCACAGAATATCTTTTACGGAGAACAGTACTGGCGGTAATGTTCCATGTTTGATGTTTGAGTCAGCGTACCACATCAGCGTGGCTCCTATCCAGATTCTGAAGATTGTGTTCGTAGGGGGTTGAACCATAAAACTCCGAAGACGCAGGACTTAACCAGATTGAATGAGGGAACCAAAGACGACCATAACAATCAAGTTTGAAACCAAACGTGTGCCAGATATATTCGGAACCGGAACAACAGCTGGGTGCATTGACAAGAGCTCTGGTGATCAGGACAGCTTTCGCCAAGATTGGCTGAATTCGACGGAATCAACAGGGCGATGGTCGTAGACATGGGGTCAGGATACAAAATGAAGGAAAAATAGAAAGGTGTAGCAGGTATGTATTATGAGAATTAGGTCTTGTACTCAGACAGACCGAAAAAAGCCGTGATAGCGGTTTTCTCATTGTCTTAAAGAGCAACTGCGATCTGATGATATGCTCGTACCAGATCGATCTGAGAATAAATAGTCGTGTCCTCGAGTGGTGCCGTCTTTGAGGGTGATGGAATAGCTATCAAAACGTGTTATTACATTTAATGTTCGGTAGTCGCCACCTGGTCGCCAACTTATCCCATCCTCCTTGCGAACTGTGGGGAGTGGTGTGGCCCACGAATAATACCTACAGATAGTAAATCGTTAAACTCACATTTAGCGAAAGGTAATTTTCCCGGTGCCAGTCGGCGAGATATTGCAGTGACTGGCGGTCCGTAGGTGACGATGTGGTATACCACACGGTTAGTCAAAGATGGAATCTCCTTGAGCGGTTTAATGAGCCGGGGAATTTTTCGAGTAATCCGTGGAAAATGTCATCACGCGAATGAAATTCACCTTTGGTACGGTACGAGTTTGTTTGAGCTGGAAAGCCCATGAATTTGCTGTTCGACGAAGTATCGATTTGCTGCAGCCTACGTGAATCGACTGGCAATTCAAAGCGCTGTAGGAAATCGATACCGAGTATAGCTGTGGGAACATCGGCAATGATGAACGTACACAGATACTGTCAGCTGTAGTGTATATGACGTGGAGGCAACCATTTAGTTGTCGCGCAAGCTAGTTCGTGCTGTAATTCTGTCTGCTATAAGGGCACCCTGGTTAAGTAACGTGTCCTCGAACAGAGCAGTGATCGTAGGCCGGACGTGTGCTGGTAGAGACTCAAGCCACAGTTC